TGTGGATGAATCATTACAACTCTTCAGCTGGCATGCGTTTGGCCAGGACCGCCCAATTGAAGGTTACATTAGTCTGTCAAAAAGGGTAGAAGATCGATGTGGAGGACTCCCGTTAGCTCTTCAAGTTTTGGGTTCATCTCTATCAGGACGACGTATAGATGTTTGGGAAAGTACGTTGGAGAAATTAAAAACTATTCCAGACAATGAAATTATCAAAAAACTCAGAATAAGCTACGACGCTTTACAAGATAACCCTGATGACCAAAATTTATTCCTCCATATTGCATGTTTTTTCGTTGGACAAGGGAAAGATTATGTTGTTAGAATACTGGATGGATGTAATTTCTTCACAATTGTTGGCATTGAAAATCTTGTGAATAGATGTTTGGTAACAATTGATGATGAAGACAACGTGAAGATGCATCAAATGATTTGGGACATGGGAAGAGAAATTGTTCGGCTAGAATCAAAGTCACCTGGAAAACGTAGTAGATTATGGCGTGATAAGGATTCTTTCGATGTATTAAAGGAAAAGAGCGTAAGAAAGATTTTTCTCTCAGGATGGGATTTTTCTTGCACATGCATATATCCTTGCTGGTTACTTATCCAACTGTTTTTTTTTTCAGGGTACAGAAACAATTGAAGGTCTTGCCTTGAACATGCGTATGCTCTCGGTAAACACTCCTTCAGGCAATACAAATGAGGTAGTCTTGGAAACCAACGCATTTTCAAGGATGTCCAAACTAGAACTACTTCAGCTTTGTCATGTACGACTCAATGGATGTTATGAGGAATTTCCAAAAGGATTAAGATGGTTGTGTTGGCTTGAATTTCCATCGAAATCATTACCTAGTGAAATTCCTTTGGAGTGCTTGGTTTATCTTGAAATGCATCATAGTAACTTGAGACAAGTCTTTAACCGGAAAAAAAACTTGAGACAAGTTTTAAAGAAGGGAAGAAAGGTATCCTATCCTTGGTGGGAATAAATATGCATCATACTCCATGCTTATCCATTTTCTTCTGTTAATTTTATGTTTAATTTTGCATTTGTCTGATTTAACTTCACACAATCTTTCATTTTGTTTTTCCACAGCACCTTCCCTCATTGAAGACCCTTGATCTAAGTCATTCTCATAGCCTTACTGAAATCGGTAACTTCTCACTGGCCCCCAACTTAGAAAGACTGATTCTTAAAGATTGTGCGAGCTTGGTTGATGTTCATGAATCCATTGGAAACCTAAAGAGACTCAATTACTTGAATATGAAAGATTGCAAAAAGATTAGGAAACTTCCAAAGAATTTATTTATGCTAAAATCAGTTGATACACTTATTGTATCTGGATGCTCAAGTCTAAATGAGTTTCCGAAGGAGCTGAGGAACATGGAATCTCTTAAAGTGCTAAAGGTAACTCAAGTTCTGACCACCACTGGAAACGTCAAATCATGCCTGAGGAGAAATCCAGAAACTTTTTGGGCTTCTTTACCAAGTAGTTTAACACAATTAAAGCTCAAGAGTTGCAATCTTTCTGATGAGGCTTTTCCCAAAGATATTGGTAACCTACCCTCATTAGAACTATTAGATCTAAGCGACAATCCAATCTCTGGCCTACCAGATTGCATCCGACGTGTTACACGACTTGATCAACTTCTTTTTTCAAATTGCAAGAGGCTCAAAACGCTTGTAGGGCTACCAAGGGCAAGATATTTTGGTGTGTTTGATTGTGCATTGTTGGAAAAAGTAACATTTCAATCAAGTTTGTTCGGATTCATACCATCTGAGGTGCTTAGCATTAGTAACCCGAACTTAGTTGAGATTGAATACATGTACAAGTTAGAACCCCTTGGAAATTGTGATGTAGAAATGCTCGATCTTTTGGGTTTGTCCAAGTACTTGGAATCCATGGAAACCGTTTTGATGATCTTCCCATGTAGGATCGCAGTTGAGTCGCGCCGTGCGGTTGAGAGTACGAAGCTGGATTGGATCAGAAGGTATCCCATCCAGGTGCTTTTCTTTCCCTCTCTCGAATACATACATATATATATACACGTGTAGACACACACACACACACACAACAATATCACATGGAAGATGCTATTTAAGACTAATACTGCCTTACATATCTATGTATAGGGACTTTATGAATCTGGTATATTCAGCACATTTCTTCCTGGGAATGTGGTGCCAGGCCACTTCAGCTATACAAGTAGAAAGTCTTGGTCAATATCTTTTAGTGTGCCTCCTTCTACTTCTACTTTCAGGATTCGAGGCTTGAATGTCTCCTCTATATATACATGTTCTGGTAGTGGTTCTTATGCTGGTTACAGTTGTGAGATAATTAGTCCAATAATAATCAAAGTTAGCAACAAAAGCACGGGAATGAAGTGGATCTATGACCCATCATGCTTCGGCATTCCAGTTCCTGGAGAAGACATGATATTCTTAAGCCATTGGAAGATGGGGAATCAATTATTGAAAGGTGGCGACCAAGTCACAGTTTCCATGTTCATGAGATCTGTCTTTCAGCTGAAGGAGTGGGGCGTCCAGCTTGTGCACGAGCAAGATCAAGAGAATATCAGGATGATGAGGACCCAACATGGCGACGATGACAATGATGATGATGAGTGTCCAGTTTCTTTTCCATGTGTCATTTTTGGACGTTCGCCAGAATTCGAGGTGATGTCAAGAACATACTTCCTGTCGCATGGACCACAATCAAGGAGAGCACTGACGTTTACTCGTTGGAGGGATTCGGCTTTGTTCAATGACATATTTGGGGACTCTGATCAACAAGGTGTGCATGCATCTCTCTCATTTATATTCATTCAACACAAGTTTTATTGTGTTTGTTTATGTTGAGCGAATCCACGTTCGTATATCTATCGAAAGTTTTCCTCTCTTCTATGTCGACTAATCTTCTGCCAACTACATTTTCAACAGAGGAACAAGCACTGCCGCTTGCAACAACAATGACGGACGCCGGGGACAATAGATACTTTGTGTTTTCCATGTTGGCGGTAGATGTCCTATACGACAATATAGTTTTACGCAGTTGCCTTTTTGGAACTCAGTCGTGAAAGAAGAGGCCATAAGCTATCCATGAATTTGTTGTAGTTGAGTTCTGTCGCCTTTGGGATTCATTTTCCTCTGCCAGGTTCTCAATCTCACTTTTCTTTTTCCTTGCACTATGATGAGCTTATTTTCTGGTGTAATTTGGTATAAAAAGAAGGAAAATGAAAGAAAAACATATGAAACCAAAAGGACAAAAAGAACAAGGTTCATATGCATGACTGACAAGGTATCAAAGTTCATATGCATGACCAAAAAATTATATGATTTTACATGTCTTGTACTACCTGACTAGGGATTTGGCGTCCATAAAGGGGGAGGTGCTAGATACCTTGAGCTTATACCCTGGAAGCACATGCACGTAAATCGAGAAAAAAACTTGTCATGGTCCTCTCAAATGGAAACGCTTCCTTCTCCGGCGTCATTGAAGCTCTCCAAAAGAGCTCATCATCAGACATTCCTTGTGTCAAATTCTTCAGTTGAAGAAACGTCATGCTCAAACAAATCCTGGCCTAATTATTTTTGTTGTACATGTACATTCACTAAAAGTTCTTCTAATCGTGGGGCTAATTCATTTTTTATGTAAAAAAGAAAGTCTTATATGGCATTAACAACATTATGCTTAAGGTGGAAGAGGGGAAAAAAATACAAGTGGGGGGGCCAATAGCTTATACTTGGCCTTTACTGGAACCGCCAGTGTTATGAAGTTTGAGAATAACTTGTATATCATGGGATTGCACTATTTTGATATTTTCAACCGATCACGTTTTGTCACGCATTATAAGAATTCCACGTGACGGAGCGTGATTGAATAATGATAACAAAATAATGTTATTCCCATGACATATGTAAATTTTTATCGTAAAGTTTAGCTCTTTTTACGACAAAACAGTACTTTTGTGCTACCTTGGGTTCAATATCCATTACTTTGATTTGAGTAACAAATACTTTTTTATTAGTGCACAATTACATTTCTGTAAATGCCTTTGTAACTTTAAAAAACAAATCGTATTTAAAATGGAAAATATAAAAACAAGAATTCAACACAAAGATGAGATGACACCCATTTCCTATACAAAGATTGGGCCCACAGCTATTAATTTCGTACACTACCACCGTCATCAACCCCCGCCAACATCAGATGACGCCCAAAAAATGGGGTTTCATCCTTAATCTCTGTCATTGCGGCTAATTTTGAAGGGGAATGCTCCGTTCCTCAAGCACGAGGAGCAGGAGCTCCTCCCTATAGCTCCTCCATGTTTTTTTACTTGTGCTTGACTTTGTATCCATACACAACGTAATATCAAACACTTTTCCATTATCAGAAAGAACTCAAATAAGCAAAGAGTTTAATTTTATTTAGTGTGTAGTGATTAACTCAAAGTTTCTTTTTCTTTTTTCCCCTTTCTGTTGATAGGTTGTCAACTTGCCGTTCAACCTGAGGTGCTTTGTGCTGTTTCAACCTCCTGGCCTTAACTTGTTCGACGTAATGTCCCAGAGATATTGTTTATTATTCGGCCTGACTCCCTCACACCTTTGAGGTATGTTTGTTCGAACTCTAGAGATGTATAGTGTGGTGCAGTACATGTTTGTGGCTGGAAATTACATGAACTCAAATTATATGTTTATAAAGGATCAAAGTGTGTTTCAAGTTTATCATGATATTTTAATTTTGAAGTACCTTGTGGTGTGCTACTTGGGTGGTGTGATTCAAGGTTTAACAGGTCAACTTTAGAAAGCATAAATCACTTCAAATAGAAGCAAAAAAGAGAAGTTTTATGTTTAAGAAGACGTGGGCAATTCCTAATAACTATTTTTACTTTTGCAATTGTATCTAATGATTTTTTTTTTTTTTTTTGTAGTCCTTTATATATCTCGTGCATTGAAAATGGTATCACCAAAAAGTTAAATTTAAAATTTCAATTAATAAATATATTCTTCATTTTTAATTTTTAATCGCCTTTCTTTGATTTTCATATTGCCAAATGCAAAGGAAGAAAAAGACAGCTCTTTGTTTAACTTATCACTAAGAAAGGCAAAACTGGCCCCTCCACGACCCACTCTTACCAGCTACCATTTGTGTGATTTATGACTAATAATTTATTTGCTTGACCAAGACATTCACCGCCTCCTTCTTTACACGGTATCTTGGCCATGTACGAAGTAGGAACTCAAGAGGTAGCCTTAAATTCCACTCAGACTCAGAGACACCAGCAATTAAAAAATGATTTACTATTTTCTGTGATCATGGCTCGATTTAGGGAACAAGAAGCCTCCTCTTCCAGTTCTTCTCCCTATCGATGTTGTTATCATGTGTTCTTGAGTTTCAGAGGTGAAGACACTCGAAGGGCTTTTACCGACCATCTCAACACAGCTTTTGTGGAGAAAGGCTTTCCCACGTTCCGGGATGAAGAAGAACTTGAGAGAGGAGAAGATATTAAGCCAGAATTTGTGAATGCCATCCAACAGTCACGAAGTTCTGTCATTGTATTTTCAAAAGACTACCCGTCTTCCAGATGGTGCCTTGACGAGCTTGTCTTGATCCTCAAACAGAAGAGGATATCAGACCATGTAGTCTTACCAGTCTTCTACGACATTGATCCTTCCCACGTGAGGCACCAAACAGGAAGGGTTGGAGAAGCATTTGCTAGGCATGAAGAAAATCAGCAATCACCGAACAAGGTCAAACAATGGAGGGCAGCACTAAGAGAAGTTGCAGATTTAGCAGGGATGGTCTTACAAAACCAAGCTAGTGGGTAACTTCATTCCAACTATTCCATTTTTTTTTTCAATTTTTTTTTTTAATAACTTGAATTAGATATTATAATTCATCAACTCTGCTGATATTCCTGTGTCTCCAAAATACTGAATACGTCTAAAAGGACTAAAGAGTAGTATACTTCTATCATTATGATGGAAGAATGAAAGGCTAATTAATAATTCAAAGTTGAATTTGAAAAACTTCTACAACATATATAATTAAGTCAAGGTGTCTGATACGATGACAATCACTTTAAATGAGATCAAAAGCAAATTAAAGTTCAATGATCCCTAGTCATTAGATTCCCCATTTACACACATTGTATTGCACTATCGGTTAAAATTGCTATTTTTCTGTCCCCAATATCATGTATTGATAATCCCATTGTTCCTAGTAGCTAGTACATTATTTGAAAACTTTGACATGTTATTTGCCTGAGACTTTGTAATTTAATTATTTGATATCATGACATGTTATAAATGTTACTTATTTTTCATTTTGATTGCAATTCTTAGGTACGAGTCAAAGTTTGTCAAGCAAATTGTTAAAGTGGTTGACGAAAAACTAAGTCGCTTGCGCACACCCTTTATAGTTGCATCCTACCCGATTGGAATTGATTCTCGAGTCAAATATATTAATTCATGGTTAAATGATGGATCAGCTGATGTTGGTATAATTTTAGTTAATGGGATTGGTGGAATTGGAAAGACTACCATTGCGAAATTTGTTTATAATTTAAACTTTAGAAAATTTGAAGGAAGTTGTTTCCTTGAAGATGTCAGAGAAACTTCAAGACAACCCAATGGTTTAGTGCAACTACAACTTCAGTTTCTTTATCATATTTTAAGTGGAAGAGAAGTGAAAATACATAGTGTTAGTGAGGGAATAAATAAGATTAGAGATGCCATAATCTCTTAAAGAGTTCTTCTTGTTCTCGATGATGTGGATGATATGCACCAAATAAAAGCAACATTTGGGATGCGAGATTGGTTTTATCCACATAGTAAAATAATCATAACAACTAGGTGTGCAGGGTTGCTAAGGGATCATGAACTCTCTACTTGCAAAGTTTACAACGTTGAAACTCTGAAAGCCAATGAATCACTGGAACTCTTCAGTTGGCATGCTTTTGGACAAGCCCATCCATGTGAAGATTACGTGAAACTTTCAGAGTTGATAGCAGACCGATGCAAAGGACTTCCATTAGCTCTTCAAGTTTTAGGATCTTCTCTATTTGGACGAACTATAGATGTATGGAAAAGTGCACTAGAGAAATTAAAAGCTATTCCAAATAATGAAATCCCCCAAAGACTCAGAATAAGCTACGATGCTTTACAGGATAACCCCCATGACCAAAATTTATTCCTTCACATTGCATGCTTCTTTGTCGGAAAGAGAAAAGATTATATTGTTAGAGTACTAGATGGATGTGATTTCTTCACAATTGTTGGCATTGAAAATCTTCTGGATAGATGCTTGGTAACAGTTGATGAAAATCAGAAGGTGAATATGCATCAAATGATCTGTGACATGGGAAGAGAAATTGTTCGTCTAGAATCAAAGGAGCCTGAGAAGCGTAGTAGATTATGGAATGATACGGATTCCTTCAATTTCAATGTATTGAGAGAAAAGAGTGTATGAATCATTCTCTTCTTATGTATATGCATGCACTCTTTCGTTTTGGGGCCTATATATTTTGCTGCTTGCTTATCCAAATGTTTTTTTTTGTTAGGGTACAGAAACCATTGAAGGCCTTGCCTTGGATATGCATATGCACTCGGTAAACACTCCTTGGAGAGATTCAGATATGATAGTCTTTAAAACTACTGCATTTGCAAGGATGTCCAAACTAAGACTACTCCATCTTAGTCATGTACAATTTAAGGGATGCTATGAAGAATTTCCGAAAGGATTAAGATGGTTGTGTTGGCTTGAATTTCCTTTGAAATCTCTACCCAGTGATCTTCCTTTAGAGCGCTTGGTTTATCTAGAAATGCCTCATAGTAATATGAGACAGGTGTTTAAGGGAATAAAGGTATGCTACTCCACACTTATCCATTATCTTTTGTTTAAGATGGTTTATGATTAATTTTACCTGTATAAGATGTAACTCCACACCTTCTTTCTTTGTTTTTCTTTCACAGTACCTTCCCGCTTTGAAGAACGTTGATCTAGGTCATTCCCATTGCCTTACTGAAATCTCTAACTTCTCGCTGGTCCCCAATTTAGAAAGTCTTGTTCTTGAAGATTGTTCGAGCTTGGTTGATGTCCATGAGTCCATCGGAAACCTAAAGAGACTCGTTTGCTTGAATTTGAAAGGTTGCGAAAAGATTAGGAAGCTTTCAAAGAATCTTTTTAATCTCCAATCACTTGATACACTTACTCTATCTGGCTGCTCAAATCTCAATGAGTTTTGGACAGAATTGGGGAAGATGAAGTCTCTAAAAGTGCTAGATGTAGCCGAAATTCCAATAAGTCAAGTGTTAATGAATACCACTGGAGAGGTCAAACCACGCATAGGGAGAAATCCAGAAAGTTTGTGGTCTTTCTTACCACGTTGTTTAGCACATTTAAACATCAGGAGTTGCAGTCTTTCTGATGAGGCTTTTCCCAAGGATTTTGGTAACCTACACTCTTTAGAATTTTTAGACCTAAGCAAAAATCCAATTCGTGGCCTACCACATTGCGTCCGAGGTCTTAGGGGGCTTGTTCGACTCATTATTACCCAGTGCTATAGTCTCCAAACACTTGAAGGGCTACCGAGAGTAACAAATTTCGCTGTGCTTGATTGCGGTTTGTTGAAAAGAATAACATTTCAATCAAGTTTGTGCATACCTATAGAATTGCTTAGCGTGCATAACGTCAAGCTAGTTGAGATTGAATACTTGTACAAGTTTGTACCCATTGCAAGATGTGATGCAGAAACCATCAAACTTTTGGGTTTGTGCAACTTGAAATTCAAGGGAATTACCATTTGAATGTTATTCCCAAGCAGGAATAGCGTATTTGGTGAGGTCTATAAGTATCACATCCAGGTGATTCTCTCTCTCTCTCTCTCTCTCTCTCTCTCATATATCACATGCAACATAAGATTTGACCAATGTTTTGATTTCCATGGCATGCATATATTAGGTACTATATGAATATGGTATAATCAGCACGTTTCTTCCTGGGAATGTGGTGCCAGGACAATTCAGCCATAAAAATAGAGGCTCTTGTTCAATATCTTTTACTGTGCCTTGTTCTAACGCCAGGATTCGAGGCTTAAATATCTTCTCTGTATATACAAGCTATGATGGTGATTTAGATCCTGGTTATAGTTGTGACAAAATTAGTCCAATAGTCACCAAAGTCCATAATAAGAGCACGGGAATGAAGTGGATCTATGACCCGTCCTTAATCGGCTTTCCGGATTTAGGAGAAGACATGATATTCTTAAGCCATTGGAGTTTGGGGAATGAACTGAAAGGTGGTGACCAAGTCATAGTTTCAATGTTCATGAGATCTTCGTTTCAAGTAAATGAATGGGGCATCCAGCTTGTACACGAGCAACACCAAGATCAAGAGAAGATGATGATTATGATTGCCCAACAAGACGACAATGCAGTTCCTTCTTTTCCGTCTGTCGTTTTTGGACGTTTGCCAGAATTTGAGATGATACCAAGAACATACTTTCTCTCCAATGGACCATTATCAAGGAGAACATTGACATTTGGGCATTGGAAGGAGTCGGATTTGTTTGATTACATATTTAGTGAAACCCACAGAACCCATTTCCTGTAAATATTTTACACTAAAGAGTCATACATTTGACCAAGCCCTCCCTCGGCCGCACCAACGCATGGCGCCAATCGAACTGCAATGTCAAAACCAAGGCAAAACGCCGCGCACAATATGGCTTGGGCGCCAATTGGAATTGCAAAGTTTAAAACCAAGGCAAAAAGTTGCCCGCCCACACTAACCACCGTATGGGGGATTTCACATCGAGAACACATAGGCTTTTCCTTTTCATTTACAAAATGGGTTTTTCCTTTTCAAATTCAACCAAAAACCAATTTGAATCAGCCAATTGTTACTTTAAAACCTAATTACATGCAATCGAAGACATTGATTCAAGAAACATAGGGGCAAATGCAATGCCCCAAACCAATTTCATCAACCTACCAAACCTTCTTAGGGGCATTGTTTCAAACACCATTCGGGCACAAGGGTCTAACATCATCCACATGCCCAACTCCAGCAGGTTGACATTGGAACAAAATTCACGTTACACAAACCATCATTAAGTACAACATGGGATTTCATTTCAAATTTGGGATCACAAAATTCCAGGTATAATCCATGTGAGCACAGAATCCAGATCATATAAACCATAGTATTTCGTTGAAAGAACTGATAGTGAATTACATATCTACTAAACTGAAGCCCTAAATCTAAACACTTGACATCCAAAAACTACATATCCAGAACAGAGCTGAACCCACCACACTTCAAGAACTTGTAAACTTGGTCACAGCCTTAGTCCCTTCAGACACCGCGTGCTTAGCGAGCTCACCAGGAAGCACAAGCCTCACAGCAGTCTGGATCTCCCGAGAAGTAATAGTCGGCTTCTTGTTGTACCTTGCAAGCCTGGAAGACTCCTGGGCGAGCTTCTCAAAGATGTCGTTGATGAAGCTGTTCATGATGCCCATGGCCTTGCTGGAGATCCCAATATCAGGGTGAACCTGCTTCAGCACCTTGAAGATATAGATCTTGTAGGTCTCTACGCTCTTCTTCGATCTCTTCTTCTTCTTATCTCCGGCGGCGGCTCCGGCTTCCTTGGGGAGCTTCTTGCCGGCCTTGGGCTTCTTCTCGGCCGGGGCTTTCTCAGCCACAGTCGACTTCTTCTCCTCCACTGGCTTTTTCTCGGCGGGCTTCTTCTCAGCTTTGGGCGCCATTGGAGTTGTGAGAGAAAAGTTAGGGTTTGGGAATTTGGGAGTTTCCGAAACGAAAGGGATGCGATTCGATTAGAGAGAACAGGAGATTGAGATGGAGAGGCTTTGTGTGAGAATCAAAGTGGTGGGATGGATTGTTTATATAGGTGAGAGTAGGCTTCTGTCATTGGTTAATTGGGGGTTCATGCGGATCGGTGATGTGGTTATTGTTACTGGCCGTGGGATTGGGGTTTCGTACAGTTTGCGAATTGACGATTGAGATGTCTTGAATTCTTTAAGCGGATTGGGGATGGATCGCTGAGTTGGCGTGCGAAGGGGCCGTGGATTATTTTTGCGTGAAGTAAGTAATGGATGGTTAAGATGATGTAATTTATTCGGTGCGGGTCGATTCCGTCGCTGGGTTAGTTCTCATGTAATCTCTTACATAGTTCTTATATAACTACACACACTTCACACACTATTAGAATTGAATTCGTATATAAATTTTGTAACTATCCAATTACCAAATAAATACATAAAATCTCAATTTGGCCCATGGGGCATCTCCAATCATAAAAAAGGGATAAACCTAAATTTCCTTCAATTATTTTACGAATCCTTGCCCATCTCATATTTTCTTGTCTCAATCATGTTATGAACTCTTGTCCATCTCTCTTTATATCAACTTTATTGATTCCTCATTTTTCCCTATCTTTTCATATCTTCATTAAATTATATATGGTAAGACATGTAGCTCATCTTGTTTTGTCATCTTCCCATTATTTCATGCATGGGTATCTTTGTTTACCTTTTTTTGTTTTGCTAATTCCATGAGGTGTTCAAGCCAGCTTACGCACACCTCAACTAATCCCTACTCGCGGAATTGAGCTTGCTGCTGGCAACCAGGTGTTGCAACTGCCGAGACTCAAACTGGGGAGCAAACCAATCGAACCCTAAAGCCTTACCCAAATAGCAGACAAACCACTAGGGCACTCTTGGTGGTTAGGAATCTTTGTTTACCGTACTCCTTATCCCTTTGTATCTTATTCTGATTTTCTTTCATCTTCCTTTTCAACCTTGTCCCTTTGTTTATTTAATAAGAGTTATTCTATCAAACCAAACACACAATTCCCTTCACTCTTCATAGATTAAAGATTGATGCAAATTGCCCCATCTTCATAGATACATACCCACCTTCTGCATAATGTATCATCTTTGTCTGGTTTCCAATTGACACCTCTTTAGAGTTTTGGTACCATATTCAACAACAAAGAAAGGAGAATGAAAACAAATAATAAAGTGAGAAACGGTAAGAAATTGAACTTGGTGGATTATTTAACGAAATTATTGTTATTTTTAGGGTTTCGAATGAGTTTGGGGGTTGGATTTGATTTAGATTAAGGCTTTTTATCCCCAAATGGTCTCTGAGGTTTGCGAAATTGTCACATTTCGTCCTTAAGGTTTTTTTGTGACAATTAGGGGTGGGCATCAAAACCGGAATACCGATACCGTCCCGAAACCGTGTCATTCCGTGTCAAACTCGTGCCAAACCGTTTGGTGTTGATGCTTAAACGGGATGAAATCGTGTCATCCCGTTACTGTTTGGCACGACACCGGTATCAGATTTGTGATCCCGTTTGGTGCCATACCGTACCGTACAGTAACTAATTAAAATTAAATATTATTTCCAAAATTTCAGTGTGCTACTTTATTAGTAGAGATGGGTTGTGTCCAGTAGCTTCAAATTCACCCCCTCTTCGGATCCTTTGGCGGCAGCCTTCTCAAATTCTTCCAACTCAATGTTACGCATTACATTATCTACATCTTTTAAATCAACCTCACCTTCTTTGAATGGCACCAATCTATTACAATGCCCACCACTGAACCACTCTCCATTCTCAAAGTGGTTCGGCGTGGTGGTTCTGAAGAATACAGACGCTTTATGATCCGAACGCGTGATGAAATTGAAAACCACACGGAGAGCACAAAAGTATGATCCGATGGCGGAATTGAAGGCCCCATCAACATTGATTTTGACTATACTAGGGAGAGGTTTATGCCATTTGACTTGACGCCTGTTGCTAGGAGGCTTGGCAATAAAATTGAGGCTGTGATACTCCAGGAGGAGATCCATCGTAGAAGAAGCAATTTCCATAGGGTGGTGCCTCTCGTTACTCCAGGAGGAGATCCAAACTGAAATTATTTGGCAGCTGCAAAAACTGAAGAAAAAAAAATTCAAATTTTAGCCTAAGGTGAATGGTATCAGTTTTGATACCGAACCATACCGGTCCCGGTTGGGGCCGGTATGGTTTGAACGTGTTTTGAAAATCCCCTATCCCGTGTCATACCGTCCCGATTCTCCTATTCGGGATTGACACCGGGATGACCTCCATCCCGTGTCATCCCGTACCGTGCCCACCCCTAGTGACAATAATGGTACTTAAGGTTGCTATCTATGCATCAATTTTGTCTCTGTCGTTAACTTCCGTCAAATTTTCTATTAAGTTGCTGACATGGCATATATGTGGAACCCACACATCCAATGATATAGAGCCACGTGGCGTTAAAAAAATATATTTTAAAATTTAAAATCCATTCAAACAAATTTAAAAACAAAATAAAGTTTTTTTTTTGTTGAAAAACTCCAGTAGGTATGGGGTTTTATCACAAAAGGCAATGTTATTAGGAGTGGAACCACTTATTATAAGTTGTAGTTTATTTAGTCAAGTTTACAATGTGGGACTTTATATTTTTCAATACGCCCCCACACGTGAGACCACCCACCACATAGTGGGTCACACATGGAGCTAAGTGCACATCGAATTTAATCATCTGGGTCTATGTGCATTGGAAGATTCATAGGTTATAGTTTGAGTTGGAATCGGTCGGGTCGACGACAATACCGAATCAAGGTGTGGCCGGTCTGGGTCAAGTATGAGTCTGTATTGGGGCCCTACTCTGATACCATGTTAAATTTCAGAGAGACGAATATGCGGCCCACTACAAGCAACATTGATATTGTCTCCAACTTAACAACCTACAAAGCCCAATAAGTGTGGGGTTTTATCACAAAATACCTTGATGATGTTAGGAGTGAAATCACTTATTACAAAATTGTAGTTTATTTAATCAAGTTTCAAATGTGGGACTTTATATATTTCAACAATTCTACCTTACCCCAAGCCTTACATGTGACCCAATGCCCAGCTTCAATTTCATGTTGCTTTGAGTTTGTCACTGCTTTCTCCTTGACAAGATCGAGCAAAGGACCAATCATGGTCCTTACATTTGGGGTGCGAAATGCCGCTG